GGGGGGAGGTAGCTCCTCCGTTGGCTGACCCATCACCTGACGAAGTGGCGGAGTTGGCGCGACCTCATCACCTCCAGAATGTCACCGTGCTCGAGGTCATTGAAGCTCGCAGCGTTGACTGCATCCTTGATGGACTTTCTCGTGTGCGCGCAAAGTTTCGCTGCATGGGCATAAATGTGATGCGCATGCACAGTGACAGGGAGAAGAGCTTTCTCCCTACCAGGGTGGCACGGTGGTGTGGTCATCGATCAATCCATCACACTTTTACTGAGGGCGACGATCCCCAGGCCAACGGCCGTGCAGAGAGTGAGATTCAACAAGTCAAGCGTCGCATGAGGCTTTTGATGCATCAAGCTCAGCTGGAGTCTTCTCTATGGCCCGGTGCCCTCCGACATGCCTCGGAGGAGAGACTTCGCAACCAGCTGCGTCGCCTGGGCATTCCCACGAAACCAATGCTTCGTTTTGGGAGCATGGTCACTGTGCGCAGTAAGCGCTGGCATAAAGCTGGTCAATTGGTGCGGCCTTTCGTTTCTATGCAGTTGATGGGCCCTAGCCCCATGATGTCCTCAGGATGGGTTGTTCGTCACGGTGATCGGGCGCAGCATGTTCGCACCGCTGTTGAACCTTCGCCTGAGGCTGATATTGCTGCTCAAGAACTTCATGCCATCGACCAAGGACATGTCCGTCGTCGCTTGGTTGGCAAACAGGGCATTGACCCACACCCCTTGGAGGATGTGATTCCTTCACTCTACGAGGCTGCTGAGGTTCCGGGGGAGCTCAGACCAGCTCTCGCTTCGCTGACTCACCTTCGAGCTGGGGGGGAGTCGCTCGCAGACTTTTGCTTGATTCCGGATGATTTGTCGCTGGGAGATCAAGACCAAGCAGTTGCCTTTGCGGTGCCTCAGCTGGAAGCAGGTGAGGACTCTGAGGGTGATGGTGAGTCTTTTTCTTGGTCAAGTGCACTCCAATGTCATGAAGAGGAAATTCAACAGCACTGGACACTGAAGCAGATGTGGCTGGAAAAGCTGAACGAAGTTCCGGTGGGGCATCATTGGGGTGGTGAACATGGACGTTGGATGGAGCATGTGGAGAATCAGTTGAGGCTGCAAGAAGAGTGTTTGACTCAGCAGCATGAGGTGATTGAGCGCTGGAGGTTGGCTTCAATGCAAATGGCAACGACGGAGCCTGCAGAGGAGAGTCCGCCATCAAGTACTGAGAAACCAACCACCGTGCTTCAGACATATACGGTGTCATTGGCTCAAGTGCGGAAGGAGCTGCACAAGTGGGTTGAGCCTTTCAAAGATGAATATCAGTCGCTCACTAGCAATACAGGTGCGATCAATCCCACTACGGAAGATGCTCTCAAGGATGATCCTAGATATCCTCTTCGGGAAGAAGCGCCTGCCATGCTTGTGCCGACAGTGAAGAGTCCCCACGGCCGTCACCGCGCTCGAGTGGTGATTTGCGGAAATCACTTGTTCCGCCCAGATGGTGACAAAGCTGTCGATCCCCTGACGGCTCAACAGTCCAACGCTCCATTCTCTTTGTATGCAGGTGGAGCAGACGGGACAGCGCTGCGAACATTGTTGCGCAAAAGCGCCTTGGAATCCTGGTCAGTGGCAAGCCTGGACGTCAAGACTGCTTTCCTTCTAGCCCCTCGCAGGGACAGTCAACAGAGACTTTTGCTCACTCGTCCTCCGAAGGTGTTCATCGAAGCAAAGGTCTGCAAGCCCAACGAAATCTGGGAGGTCAAAAACTCCCTGTACGGTCTTCAGGAGGCCCCATTGAACTGGTCGATCTTTAGAGACGAGGAAATGTCAAAATTTCGCTGGTCATGTCAGGGCGCCGACTGGAGGCTGATGCGAACGACAGAACCAAATCTGTGGAAGGTTGTTTTGGACCGCCCTGAGCAGGCGAATCGGGAAGACAAGGCATATGCCTATGTTGCTGTGTACGTCGATGACATCCTGGTCACGGGGGAGCATGCCGTTGCTGAATCTGTGATTCAACGGTTCCAGCAGCATTGGACGTGTTCGACTCCCGAGTGGTTGACGGAGGAAGAGTCTGCATCCTTGCGTTTTTGTGGCTTTGAGCTTTCTCGTCAAGGACCTGATCTTCTTCTTCATCAGCAGTCCTACTTGGGCGACTTGTTGGCTCGATACTCTGATGTGAAGCCAGCGAACTGCCCTTTGCCAGGTGTTTTGGACGACTCCGAAGAGTCCAACATTGAAATCAGTGCAGTTCGAAGAGCTCAAACTGTAGTTGGAGAACTGCTCTGGTTAGCAGTTCGAACGAGATTGGACATCTCGTACGCAGTTGCTTGGCTTGGTCGCCATGTGGCAAGGTGCCCAAATAGAGTGATGCATTATGGTCGGCAGGTCCTGGGTTTTCTCTCGTCAACGCAGAGGTTGGGCTTGCTTTATACCAGTCGTGCTTCGTTAGAGAGTGGTTCGACTTTGGAGCATGTTCATGGCATCAACGTTTTTTCGGACGCTTCATTTGGACCCCCTGGATCTCGAGGCCACCAAGGTTTGGTTGCTATGTACGCTGGTTGTCCGGTTCAGTGGGAGAGCAAGCAACAAGCATTTGGCACCCTTTCAAGTTCAGAATCAGAGTTGCTAGCATACACTGATGCTTTGACCATGGGAGAGTCTTGTGCAGCAGTAGCTGGTATCCTTGAGAATGGAGACATGGACAGCGTGGGTGGCTGCACACTTCATGGTGATTCGCAGTCAGGTCTTCGTTTGCTGCATGCTCCTGACGGAGCTTGGCGAACTCGCCACTTGAGGCTTAGAAGTTTCGTCTTGAGGGAGCGCATCAGAACTGGCTGTTGGCGAACCAACCATATTCCTGGAGCTCAACTAGCAGTTGATTTGCTCACCAAGCCCATTGCTAGTGCGACTGCGTGGGAGCGGTTTCGAGCTTTTGCAGGACTCAGGATGCGCAGCGAGAAGCGTGATGAGGGCGTAGACCACCGGTCCAAAGTGGCCAAGCTCGCAGCAATTGTAGCTAGCTTAGCTGGCCTGGCGGCCTGGACTCCTGTCGGAGACACGGTTCAATTCGCTCGAAGCTTAGGCATCGCGGCGCTTAGTGCAGGAGTAGCCTGGGTAGCTAGGAGCTGTTGTGATGATCTCAAAAGAAAAGCCAATGGGCAGAAGCGTGTGTCAGAGACCTGTAAGACGCACCAAGAACACAAAAGAAAGAAGAATCAAGATGGAGTGAGGGAAAATGAACCCACTCTCAATTCGACCCATGACCTTAGCCCCACGGGCTCCCCGGTAGCCGGCGCGAGGCTTCAATGCGATGGCGGCTTTCGCGTGGCGGCGTTGAGGATGTCTTCGGCGAGCGGCGGCGCTGGAGCTGGTGATGCTCCGTGGTGCGACTTCGGTGAAGGACCTTGGATGAGCCTTCGCTTTCGTGAGTGGCCCAGAGGAAAAGACAAATGGGAAGATCTAGGCAGTGGCTGGTGGGTTCGAATTTTGAGTGCTCCCAGAGTCAATACCTACCACCCGGTACACCGCAGCACGCCCTTCAATGTGATGGACCTTCTTCCCGAGAGGCATACGCTTTGGTGGCCGTCTGATGGCGCTCCACGCATGCTTCATGACGAATGGAGTACAGGCCAGAGATCGGTGATGGTCCCAACAGGCCAATGGAGAGGATATGCCTTTTTTCGCATGCGGCCGACGAGAACAGACACCCCTGCTGTAGAGAGCTCAAGTGTGCCTCGGCTCGATGAGGGGCGGGGAGAGTTTTTTGCTTTGGCCGATCATGCTGGATATCAACGCCGACTTGAAGGTGCTCGTGCTCGGGGGGAGGCCGCGTTGGCCGGTGGGGTGCTGACTAGCGCTTTTGTGGATCCTTCTCTTAATCGAGTTCGGGAACCTAGTGAGGCAGGTGAGAAGCGGTTGAATTTAGATGTTCGGAACGAAGAAGATTCCGATGGCAGTTTTTCCAAGGTTGAAACTCCATAGCACTGCGCGCTGCAGTGGGGGGAGTGTGATGTGTGAATGAAAGACTGACTAGCAAAGCAGTCTAGCAAGGC